TATTACATAAATATACAAAATTAAAATAAAATGAACATTGAAGTATTTAAATATCATAAATAATCAAACTTTCAATAAATCAATAAATTTTAATATTCTTTAAAACAATTTTAATATTAATTCTAATTTTCAATTTGTTATTGATAGATTTAAATTTATTTTTAAGTTTTTTGTTTTATTATACAATAAATATAATAAATTAAATATAATATAATATAAAATTATTTATTAATTATTTGAAATAAGATTTTGAATATAAGATTAAAGTCCTTTTAAAATTAAATTTATTTAAATAATATTTTTATAGATTATTGATTATTAAATTCTTTTATAAAAATTATATCTAATATTATTGAAAATTCGTATATAAAATTATAAATTTTAAATATTTTTTATAAATGAAATAAAATATTTTTATATATTATTTATTATATTAAAATTGAAAGAATTTTTAATAAATGACTATTCAAATTATTTTTATTTTTAATCTTGATATAAAAAAAAATGAATTGTTTATTATAATTGTTATATGATTTTTTTGAATTTCTTAAATTTCTGAATATTATTGATTTTTATAGAATAATTTGTTTTTAATAAAATAAAATATTTTTATAATAAATATTTGATCCTGTTTTAAACTTTATCTATCCTTTATTATTTTAATCTTAATTAAATATCATTATTTTTTTTATTAACTTTTCTTTTTTTATAAGATTCTCAATATTTTTGTTTTTATATTAATTTGTTTTAATATTATTTTTAATCTTTCGATTATTTTTATATTTTGAAATTATTTAATTTTTGAAATATATGTATCTAATTTAAATAAAATAAAAGGATTATAATAAAATAATTTATTAAAGCTTATTATAAATTAGAAATATTTTCTAAAATAGTTTTAATCTAAGAACTTTTAATTTAGTATATTCTTATATCTTTTGAAAGGTCTAGAGTATAAGTCTTGAATTTATATTCACCAGATGAAAAATATTATTATTATTATCTTCTATTTGATTTAAAGATTTCAAAAAAACTTATGATTCATTTTTAATAATTTTTATTGAAAAGTTATTAAAGATTTTCAAGATTTTCAAATTTATATATGAATCTTATATATATTAAAAATCATGATTTCAATCATTTATATTTCAATCAATAAAATCACAAAAAATCTAAAAATTTTATAATTTATTAATATCTATATAACAAATTTATGATTCATATTTCATCAAATCTTATTTATTAATTATAAAGTTACTAATAGTTATCGGCTTATTGATATCAAAACCTTATCATATTGTAACGATGCTGTACTAAAGGCAGCGGCTGCCTAAGGTTCGTCGATTGGTAGTTATGGGTTAAGGCTTTATCAGTTGGTATTCACTTGAAAGTGAATTCGTTACTAGATCAAGTAGAATGTAGGTAAACTAATTGATAACTAAGTTGAGCACGAAGCTCCTTAACTACGAGACTAAATGAATGTTTATATACCCTATATCATCTTTTGAGGACCTCTGGGACCCTAAGGTCCAAAAGGTCCTCGAGGTCACGTGAATTAATGAATCGTGACACATATACAAGATTTATCCGATATAGATCAAAAAAAATAAAAGACTTGTTTAAATGAAGCTCGATCCTAGCAATTTAATTGGTCCAAAATACCCCGGCAGAAAATCTAAAAAAAACCTTGGCGCAACCCAATCTTACAATCTTAGGCATATTTGATTTAAAACTTTTCAATCAATTTATTTAACTCAACTTATTCAACTTAGTTTATTATTATTATAATAATAATAATAATAATAATAATAATAATAATAATAATAATAATAATATAATTCAATTAATAATTATTTATTTAATTATTTTGTATATTTTATTAAAATTAATCTATAATATTCAAAACAAACCGATATTCTATTTGTGCTTTAATATATATTTAATATTTAAATTTAAAAAAAAATTATTTAAAAATTGAATTTATATTAGACTTTCTCAAAAAGCCAGGGGTCCGGGAGGCGCAGGCCCCTGGTTGAAAATCACGATTTTTGATATAAAAGATGGCCGGAATTAAAAAGTGGCCGGAAAGTAGAGTACTAGACTTAATATTTTAAAATAAAATTTAATAAAAAAAAAGATTATTTATTTTTTAAATTTTTTTTTTAATATAGAACATAGATTGAAAATTGAATTATTTTAAAACTTTTATTTTTATGTTACGAGGTTTGCCGTCTAGATCACGTGGAAGTGCTCTAGGCTCTCGAGGTGGTTTATAACTAGGCGTCAAGCAGGGACTTAAGTAATGACAATAATGATATACAATTCGTAACTAATAGTAGAGTATACTAAATGATTGATCTTGAGCACGAAGCTCTATACAAAGGAAATCCATCTTGATTATATAGACTTTCGTGTTCTGAAAGTCGATCGACTCTTGAAGGGCCGATCGATTCTCAGGGAGTCAGTCGGCTTTCGGATCAGGTGACACTTGTCACATGATCCTGCTAACTAATTGGTTACCTGATGCGGGTTATGTTACGCCGTCTGTTACGTAGTAACAGTCAACCTGTCCATATGAGCTCAGACCCCGTGGAAAAGCAAACCGATTCACATGCAAAATTGTATGGTAATCGGTTCGTAGAGTCTTCCCACCTTCAGCAAGCACAGACATATAGTCTGATCCAAGTCACGTGATGGACCCTGCATATTCAGGGATACGAATCGTAGGTCCATACGAATCGTAGGTCCATACGAATCGTAGGTCTATACGAATCGTAGATCCATACGAATCGTAGGTCCATACAAATCGTAGGTCCATACGAATCGTAGGTCCACAAACTCTCAGGATCCAAGAGATCCAATGGAGGACGAAGGTCTATATAAGCAGGATGGATTTCCTTTGTATAGAGCTTCGTGCTCAAGATCAATCATTTAGTATACTCTACTATTAGTTACGAATTGTATATCATTATTGTCATTACTTAAGTCCCTGCTTGACGCCTAGTTATAAACCACCTCGAGAGCCTAGAGCACTTCCACGTGATCTAGACGGCAAACCTCGTAACATACACCCTCTAGAAGAGTTCGCTTAAAATATCCAATCAAAAACCATAGAAACTCTGGAAGAAGGTCGATGTTAAAACTAGACTAGAGTAATCCAGGTAAGATTGAACCTTACCTTACTAACTATTAACAGTAATTGATCAAGTTGATTTCCTGATTGAGGCATTATGGTCCTTTTTGTATATCGCTCTTTTTTCTCGTCGGTATGATTAATATTATCATTTTCATTTAATTTCAATACCGTTCACTACCTTTACCACCTCCGTCTCCGTCTCCGTCTCCATCTCCATCTTCCCCATACACTATAATACCGAGGTAAAATAGACTCTAGGCAATTCTTTTCTAGGTATTCCAGTATTGATGGTATTCCAACAGTTATTCCTACACTCAAAATTACACCGCTTTTATCCTGCCATCAAATAGTTACAACTTACCTTACCATAAAAAATGACTTTCCTTATGCATCTTCTCCGCAATACTGCAGATGAATGAATGTCTTTCATTACTACCGAAATCTTCTCCACTTCATCCTTGAACAGAGCTTAAGCTTAATATACGGAGTAGGACTGAGGGGTTCTAAGGTTGTTTTACCAACAGCTTGCGCAACGCACTGCTGACATGCATATTTTCACTGCCGCTTTAGTACCACTTTCTTTATCAAGTAAGCTACCTTGCACAGTCATCTTGGAGATGGGAAATGAATAAAGGCAATATCTGCCAAGTCTAAAATCTCACATCCATCTGGGGATGATATTTCAAGAATTGGATAATTGGAAAGTGTTTGCCGTGTATCCAAGTAATTTTATAGCCGAATAGTCAAACAACACCGATCGTATATCTGCAGACGTTATCTAGTTGCATAGCTTTTCTCTCATGATATAGTGCCTTATGAGGGAGTGCATTTACTCGGTACCAGGATCTCACCCCGCCTACCTCACACGAAGAGGCGATGTAAGAAACAGAAGCAAGAAGAAGAAGGGATATGTTTAATTACCGTATTAGTTGAAATCTAGGTATGAAGACATCTGTCTCTAATCAGCTGGCAATGAACCGAGGGCCGGGGACAAAGAGCCACGCGCAGCATACAAGTCTTCGGTTGGGACCGCGTATATTGAACGTGTAAGATAGCTTCTGATTATATTTCAATCCATTTTGCGTGTTGTTACCAATAATCGCCCACTAAAGCACCCTGCCACCTAGGCACCTTTTCTCAAACCCTTTTACAGCTACCTTCATCATCTTTATTTACCTGACTCAAAATGGAAGGCCGATCCAGTCGTATCGCCATTCTTTCGGGCATCATAGCTAGCAACACAGCGAAGCTCGATAAATATCTTTACATTAATAAAATTTCTCAGCCATCGCTGGATGAAAAGTGCTTAGATTCTTTGAATCTACCCCGTGACATCCAGGAAGCTTGCGCAGCAATTGTTGATGCGACATTAGAGAGAGGCATTTTATAGCCGTCGTGTACGTTCATTTCAATACCAAATAAGATTACTGAAAGAGGTGTCCACCTGCTGCTACTGCTAGTAATTCAACGGCCATGGATCATGCTCAGAATTGTCAAATGACGCAAGCTACTGATTAATGGAACTGCATAGGCTCACGAACTAGTATCGTTGCATTTTGTCTCATCTATTGATGTCCCATCACTCGTTCCAATCTCAGATTTTGCCACTTTTGCGCAGATAGCTTCGCGGCGCAAGCCTCCTGTCAGCAAGGAAATCGTTAAGCGTCTACTTCGACATTCCATAACGGGCGGATTCTTTAAGGAGCATGAAAATGAAGTTGTTAGTCATACTGCATCGTCGAGAATTATGGCAGAGGACTCGAACATAAGAGACTGGGTGAAACTCGAGGTTGACGGCGTTTGGGGCATGGCCGAAAATGTGAGCACTTTATTCGCCATGTATCTCCAGACTGACGTTTCTACAGATTGTGCCCTGATTGAGAAAATGGCCGGTGTCATCAGATCCTAGACATACAGTACAAGCCTATTCCTGTACACTTTTAAGTCTAATTATACTAACGAGCCTATTCACTCGTTCATAGGCCTTCAGCTTAGCTGCCGGTACACCAGTTCCTTTTTATGAAGCAACAGGTCGCAATATTGAATTGACGAAAAAATTCGGATCTGCGCTCGTCGCAGAAGAAGCAAGATTTGGCCTGTCTCCTAAACACCTGTTCATGACATACCCATGGCTCACAATCTCACACTCCTCCATCAATTGTTGATATCGGAGGTTCCACAGGAAACGTGTCCCTTGAACTCGCTTTAGCGCTTCCCGAACGGAAATTGAAATTCGTTGTCCAAGACAGGAAGGAAGTGATATCTTTGGTTGATAAAATGGCCGTCCTGGCAGACCTCAAATCCGGGGTCAAAACATCCGTTGAGTTCATGGAACACGACTTCTTCAAACCACAGCCTGTGAAATGTGCCGATGTGTACTTGCTGAGACTCATACTTCATAATTGGTCCAACAACGATTGCTTGCAGATTTTGCGGAATTTAGTGCCAGCTTTAAAACATGGGTCGAAGGTACTGGTGAATGAGATCGTCATGCCCGATTGGAGAGAAATTGAATGTAGAAAATCAGAGTCGGTATAATCCATTCCACACTCTTCAGGAAGCACATAGTAACACTAATGGATGAACCGCAGACTGATGGACATATTCATGTTGATGTTGTTCAATTCTCAAGAACGTGACCTCAAGGGCTGGCAAGAACTATTCACGAAAGCAGATCCCAGATACTGCCTCAAAAGTATCCAACGTAGTCCAGAGTCCTTTTTGTCCGTCATCGAATTTGTTTGGGGTGGGGAAGCAGATAGCCAGAGGATTACATACAGCGACGGCATGTCTCGGGAACACGCAAAAGAACAGGCAGTGGAATCATTACTTGTTCAACATGAAACTGATTATGGAGGCAAATCTATAGAAGCTCTGTTTGCGTTATAGAACAACGGTGTACAATATATTTCAAAAATGTGATATGCGTATGCGTTAGCAAGTAAGAGGACTCAGCGGATTTGTTCCAAAGGAAATCAAGAGTCACCCCGTCACTTGAATAAATTTAGACCATGATTTGCCAGTTCAAGGCTGGTGATAGAACCGTACTAGACTTACGATGCTGTAGCTTTTAAAGCTAGAACTTTCAATGAGTAGAGGATGTCTTTGGCTCTCGATCACAACAGAACATGCAATATATAGTGGTGATTCCAGGTAAAGAAGTCTGCGAGCGAAATTAAATTCTTTTAGTCTTCGATATGAAGGCGACCTCTCACCTCAAAAGGATATCAAGCTTCTGCGAGATCGACGTATCAGTTCGTGCAGTCATGATGATTACAGTGATTATTGACATAAATAGGATGACCAACCAAATCAAATCAGGAAAAATGGTCACGATTGCTGATGCTAAACATAGAAGAAGATCTGCACGGGGTTGATAAAAACTGTTACATTGCTGATTGATAGGAAGTGCTCTCCGCCATATGAACTTGGAGATGATCCGACCCTACCACCCTAAAATCCGCAGCAGAAATTAGCAAATTCGTCTGGTTACTTCTGCGTACCAGTTGAGAAGTGCATCTATAACAATGAGATGGGCAGCGGAAAGCCCCCACTTTTTTTTAAAAACAAGATACGGCGATGTAAATTTCTGGAGTTGAAGCATTTTATAGGGCCTCAAGGATAGCATCTTCAGGCACGCTTGCACCTGGATTATCTGAAGGCAAGCCTTTTAACCTGTCGAGAACCTTGGTAGGAGGAGAGAAGGAGGTATGGAAAAACGCGGTGGGAAGAAATTGGGTCCTCAACAAATGACCCGGAGCTGTTTGGAGCTGCATACACACAATTCGAATCATGAATACACTGTATAATGGGCCAGGATAGATCAAAAGATCCAGAAACGAGACGAACATCACGATGAAGCGCGCTTTTGTTTTTAAGAATGATCTGGTTCTTCTGAAGATCCTACAAGGAAACTTTTCCCTCTATTCACCCAGGCTTTGATATCAAACGATGTTGAGACTTCATCACTTGGAACCCCATTGTAAACTACAATGAGAATTCCATGATCATGATATACCATGTTCCAGATAAGAACCACTGCGTACTGAACCACTGAAGAAATGAGTTGATAACCCGAACAATTGAAAGCTATAGCATGCCATAAGTAGTGATAGCAAAGCACCATCGTAGATATTGAACTACTCGGTACTGCTAGATAATGACAGCGGTATTTGCTGAACAAATAAGAAAAAGGACTAGACTATTTGTAGGTAAGATATTCACAAGTCTTGATTTTCAGCCATCAATGTCGGATAATGATAAGACAAGATAAAATTTAGTTACATATTTACATAATTTTACATATTTGATGATTCCGAACTAGAGCCCTCGACCTTGTTGCAACGATGTAGTAACCTAGCTAGGTTATTATTATATATAGATAATATCTTTTTGGTTTCACGAGGAGGTTTATTCTCAAAAAGGCAAACTGCATAGAAGATATAAATATATATATTAATATAAGATACATATTTGCACTTAAAATATGAAAGATTAGGTAAATCTACTCAATGATTGATTACCTGAGAATTAAGATTACTGTGTAATATGTAATATATAACGGAATTTAGAGTCATGTTATTCCGGTTATTATCCATAACAGCAACCAAGATGGTAATTTCGTAGATTCCCGAGCATTACCTACATACCTAAAGAACTTTAAATACCCTCAACAACAGATTGTGTACTATTTCACCAAAATACCTCATGATACACAGGCATAATAATCTATCATAGCCATTTAGCTGCACTTCACATCCTGAATCTACAACATGTCATTTGGAGGGGACACCGGACTTGATTCATCATCGTCGCCCAATATCGTCGGCAATGGCAACAATGGCGAGACAATCGGAAGGCCTGCAACTCCTCAAGATGCAGCCACGAAAGCGGTTCACGATGTTACAAGCTCCGAGGTGATTGAGTCAACCAGTTCTTATCTTTTCCATTAATGAAAGAGAAGCTGACTATATTCATGATGTAGATTGGAATATCAACCTTGTTGAACCGGTTGAAACAGAGCATTGCTTCCGCAAAGGCAGTCCCCCCCGAACTTTCAACGTCTGCATAGATATGGAGCTGACTTCTTCGAAACAGGAGTTCGCACTTTTCCTCAAAAAAAGGTCCATAATGGAAGAGGAACATTCGAATGGATTAAAAAAGCTGTGTAAAGCAACTGGAGATAATATTCGCAAACCAGAGCATCGCCATGGTTCATTCCTGCAGTCATATGAAGAGATTCTTATTATACACGAGCGAATGGCCGAAAACGGGGCTCAATTTGGCGTGTCTCTACATCAGATGCATGAAGACCTTATTGAAATGGCTTCGAATATAGAGAAGGGTAGGAAGCACTGGAAAAATACTGGCTTGGCAGCAGAGCAGCGTGCTGCTGACACGGAAGCCGCCATGAGAAAGTCAAAGGCGAAATATGATAGCTTGGCGGATGAGTACGACAGAGCTCGCACCGGAGATAGGCAACCGGGCAAGATATTTGGCCTCAAGGGACCTAAATCGGCAGCGCAACATGAAGAGGACCTTCTCCGTAAGGTTCAGGCTGCAGATGCAGATTATGCAGCGAAGGTACAAGCTGCACAAAGCCAGCGCTCTGAGCTCTGGTCAAAGTCAAGACCCGAGGCGGTGAAAGCGCTAGAAGATCTCATTCAGGAGTGTGACTCTGCATTGACATTACAAATGCAGAAATTTGGTAAGTTGTATGAAAGCTTGGCTATTAGACGCACATAACTGATCGCATTGATTAGCGTCCTTCAACGAAAAGTTACTTCTTAGCAATGGTTTGAACATAAGCCCTATCAAAGCCAAAGAACAAGGCACCTCGAATCGTAGTCTGCGTGAAGCTGTTCATGCCATCGATAACGTTAAAGACCTGAGCAACTACATCAGTAGCTTTGCCGGTAAGGTACCATCACGGGTCACGGAAATAAGATACGAGCGTAACACGGTCAGTTCTAAAGATCCTTGTTGCATTGATTTGGACGAAGCTGATTTTGGACACAGGTCTTGCAACCTGCAGCAAATATTGCCCAACGACAATCAGACCCCAACGCTCTCAACTCTCGACAAGGACCAGGAATATCATCTCAGCAACCTCATCAGGTGCATGTAAGCCAAACCTTTAACCAAGGCACTCCGCAAACACACCAGCACGAAAGAAGTTTTAGTCACGGCCCCTCTCTTTCGCAACACATCGTTCCAACTGTTGCATCGCCCACGGCGCCAACATCCACCTCCCCTGACTTCACCACCTGGTCACCTCGTACAGATGGGCCTCCTCAAATCTCAACATTGCCGTTTCAGCCACTGCCTCAGAACGAGACAGTTTTGCAACAAACACCACCAAATCCTACGACTCATGCTCCAGCATCCCATGGACCACCTTCGGCACTATTATCTGGACCAGGACCTCCGGCTTCAGGCAATAATACACATCTAGCGCCTTTGAAACCAGTATTTGGGCTTAGCCTCGAGGAGCTCTTTGAGAGAGATGGCTCTGCTGTTCCTATGATTGTCTATCAATGTATTCAAGCAGTTGACCTCTTTGGGCTCGAGGTTGAAGGGATATACCGACTATCTGGTACTGCATCTCATATAATGAAAATCAAGGCAATGTTTGACAACGGCAAGTTAAGCAATTAATCCGTGGTCAAAGTAACTTTGCTGACAGTTCGCAGACGCATCTAAGGTGGACTTTCGTAACCCTGAAAGCTTCTTCCACGACGTTAATAGTGTCGCTGGCCTTTTGAAGCAGTTTTTTCGAGAGCTCCCAGACCCTCTACTGACTAGTGAACAATACCCCGCATTCATCGAGGCCGCAAGTAAGTCACCTTGGAAGTTCACTCCGAAAAATCCTTCTCTACTAATGTGAAACTAGAGCATGATGATGAAACAGTCCGTCGCGACTCTCTTCATGCCATCATTAATGGCCTCCCCGATCCTAACTATGCTACTTTGCGCGCCTTAACCTTACATTTAAATCGAGTGCAGGAAAGTTCGGCGTCTAACAGGATGACTGCAAGCAACCTGGCTATTGTATTTGGACCTACTCTCATGGGAGCTAATTCTGGACCAAACATACAAGATGCTGGGTGGCAGGTTCGCGTCATTGACACCATTTTGAACAACACCTATCAGATATTTGATGACGACTGAGGTGGAGAAGAAGATCATATAATCAGCCATGATGTTCATTAAAAACGCTCAATGCCATCGACTAATCTGCCCATGAAGCAGAAACAAAAGGAAAATGATTTCTAGCGCCAAAATCTGCTACGCTGACAAAATCGTTCACAAAAGCATGTTACCGCTCTACTTCGCATGTCATAATTTTGATGCATAGGCTCAAGAACATAAATTCACGATCTATCTAGCGAGTCTACTTCGGGGCCATTTACTTCGCGACGGGATCTGTCGTGGGGCTCTTGCGCTCAGCTCTAATGTCGATGCCAGTGCAGATGTTGAGTTAAAAGGGTGCACATTTTCAAGACTGGTAATTTCTGGATTATGATGACATTAGGCCACGCGTGGTTTTTAAGTTCACTAGATACATAATTAGACAAAGTGTGAAAAAGTACTAATTGAAATACATTATTGCTCGCTGGTGGCCACCTCATCAGTCTACCCTGTATCTATTACACGTCAGTTTGTGATAAAATTATGACAGGTTGCAGCTCTCAGTTGACCCCTTTCCTGCTCGCGAATAGTGTCAGGCTGAGACTTGTATCATTCTCTCCCATGTTAGGAGTCGGCTCTCCTAACATCTCCCAGCGCTTCATCGTAAAAGGAAATGATTGGCGGCTCGATTCTTTTGCGTGGTCTGTATTTATATTACTGCCATTCCTTCCAGCAGTTGCAGTTTTCAAGACGCCCCTTTGATAAATATGCAGCCAGTCAGATGGAGTCGCCAGTATACTATAAATGTAGCTAATAATCGAATTTGAGGACGCTTCGCGGGAGTTGCGACCGCACTGCAGGCGAATATCATCAGGAAGTACATCTACCATACTTAGAACAAGGTCAAAGCACTGCTCTAGCGGTAGACCTTCGATTTCTGTATTAGCTTTGAGGACATATAAGTCCAAAAGGATTGCTGTCAGGAACAAAATCGCTCTTCCCCGTTGCTCATTACTAGTTTTGGAATGTTCTAACACTACTGTTTGTGAGGCTGTGAATGATAACAGCAGCGGTAGCCATTTTGTGAAGAATGCAATTTTACAACCGTTTTGTTGTGTGCTAGCGACGTATTGCGAGGCGCCGCTGAGTAAGTTTATGATATCCGCAAAGCAGCTATGCGAATTATATGGCGCGTTTGCTTTTTCCGTATACATCTCGTCTATGGTCAAGTCGAGGATGACCAACAAATTTTCTGCTTTCGTCAATTGGTGCTCTTCCCCCAACATGTCGTTGTAGCCTGAGGCCTTGGCAGCGTGGAAAAGCGCAAGCAATTGGGTCTCAGCACCGCGTCGTAAGTATTGTATGGTAGCAAAATCTAATGATGGTATAATGCAAGCCCATGTCGTACCCCCTGCCATTATAGCAGACTCAACGGCACGATTAAGGTCATCGAGCTGAGGAGGGACCATATTCCTGGAAGTGGGTTGGGAACTTTTCCCAGAGCGGAAGGTAGACGCCACCTTCAATTGGCAAAATGGTAGATTCAGATAATTCGCAGATTTTAGCGCATCACACACTGAAAAATTGGAGGTTTCACGCTGATGTATAGGCGCCAAAAGCTTGTTTATCGCGGTTACCATTAGTTTGGAAGCATCCTCATCGATAGACCCAGGTGATAAAGGCTGCACCAGGATTTTTGTGGCCATATCACCACCAATCAAGACTAGCGTCTGAAGTATTTCATGCATGGCTGGACCACCTAAGACGTTTAAGGGGTGGAGGGCGTTGGATGATATATCGCGGACAACTGTAGAGCACACCTCGATTGCTGACCGAATAACCGTCAATGTAAGTTCAGGGTTGTCAATTTGCATACGACTTTGTACAAGTCGGACGCGATATGCTTCGTCCGATGTCAGAATCTCCGGTATGGTGATTGGTGCCGCAATTAAAGCAAGCAATTCCGTGGCTACAATAGTGCCCACTTTTTGCGTTGCGCTACTCTCGGCCCTTTCATTTATTAAGCAGGCATTAACCAGATCTTTCAAAGAGAGACAACCGAGTCCTACTAAGGGGCCGCATATTTTCACCAAGCTGGGCCGACGTTCCACATTTTGAATGTAAGATAGCCAGCTAGCCATCAGCAGATCGAATGGTTGTGGATTAAAGTCTCTTAGGGTTGTCAACAGTGACACACACTTCCGTTGCTGCTCCGGTGACTTATCCCATGAGATCGACAAATGATGAACCACTCTCTGGAAAAGCCGTTCCATGGTTCCCCGGTCAATACTGGTGCCGTTTGCAAGGAGTTTCTCGATCTCTTCTACGAACTCAGCCTCGTTATTTTGTGATCTACCCGCCATATGATCCGATACAGGAGAACAAACGTCGGCGGCACACTTTCTATCACTCAAAGCAAGTTGGCGAGCGAGCCGAGCGGTAAGATTCTGACTGTCGGGAATTCTCGATGAGAGGTCCAACAAGGATGCCAGAATGACTCGTGGCATGATGTCACGATCGTCTGCAAATGAACGCGAGCGATTAAGAAGAACATCAAACAAGCCCTTAATTGCTCCGATGGCCGCAAATATCTCGGCGTGCATATTAAGTGTATCGGCGCACGATGCAATAGTTTGAGTATCCGTTGATGCCGTGGCAATCTTTATCACATCGGCGAGCATAGAGAAATCATCTATAATTTCAAGATAGTCTCGCACGATGCCAAATGTAGCCGCCATAAGCACAGAAGTATCAGGAGCCGCAGGTGATGTGCTATTCCACTCATTCGATGCTGTACTTAACGGTAGCATCTGTGCTTCCACTTCATGACGAAGCCAAGATCCAATGTGGGATTTGCTTGCCCGGTTTAATGATCTGAGGTCGTCTAAGCTTTTGACATCGTTTTCAACTTGGAGCGATCGTCGTTCTGAAGCTACCGGTATCCGTTGTAGTACATTGCTTATGGAAGATATGCTGACGGCTATCTTGTGGTCCTCAATGTCCATCGGGTAATCGGCTCGGCAAAGCAAAGTCCTGCGCAGCCCAACCATCTCTCCACTCAAATCATGAATAGGAAGCTCTGCGAGGAGCCTTGTTCCACAAGGACCGTCTGGCGCTAGGTCTGAATGATCATGAATACCGCCACGGCTGATCAACCATTGAAGGTATGTTGGGACACAAAAGTCGTTCGACCTGGCTAGCTCGGAAACTAAATGATAAAACGAAGACTTGTTACGCCCGATTTCGCAAGCGCTAGAGTCAAGGAATGACAACATAGAAGCAGTTGTGTCTGCACCCAATTTCCTCCAAGATCGTATGATGCGAGCACCTATGAACACTTTTGCGTGTCCAGGCCTATAGCATGACGTCGACCAATCCAGAACTGTGTGAATAAGAGCGGTTTTGTCATCATCAAGCTTCCAGCAAACATGTATGACCTCGGGCGTGAACAAGGTGAAAAGTGATTTATCTAGTATATTGATAAGGCGCTGTCGAGGAGGATGCTGGGCTTCAGGAGCTATAGTGGTAAGACGTATATTGCGGCGATTGATCTCATCCCAGGCGGTCGTGAGACGCTCATCTGAGATGCTTAGGTGAGCCTGCAGGATTTGCCTGTGCTTGAACCAGATTTCAGGACAAACAAAATTATCCGGGTTCGATGTCATCAATTTAGTTAAAAGTAAACGTAGACGATCGTTCAAAGGCCCCAATATATCAGAATCCGGATGCTGAATTGCCTTGAAAGATGCTGTCAGCTACAGAAAGTAAGCGGATTTGAATGTGGTGCCATACCTCTGAAAAACGATTCAGCAGAGTAGTTGTGAACCGGCGCCCGAACCTCCGATACTTCAAAATATCTTCCCAATACACCTGGGCAATCAACAACCATATTGGTAATTTGGCTTGAGAAGTAGCCTCGAGGGATGATAGTATCCAATCTAGATAATGCTCGCGGTCTATAAGGCATTCAGCATGAAAATGTGCCGCCAACCGAATCCTGTCACGCCTGTAAGTAGATACCCAAGAGCGGGTAAATGTTATACTTACGCGTAATAGATCCTGCGACGAAAGTCCTTCTCTCCACATGATCCAATTATGCTCTCCAACACCTGTTCAACACAAACTGTAAAGTCTCTAACCCATTTCGTCTCACCTCCCATAGCAAAAGCACCACCCGCACCCTTCCTCTTGAAAGACCTCAGTTCATTTGCCCCTACGCACTTGGCTAACCAGACGGCCCGCTCGATAGGGATGTTTTTGTTGAGGGAATGTTCTAGGAGCACCTTACCTCTAATCCCGTGGGGAATTGATCGACTGAGGCGGCGGAGTGATATAGTCGGATTAGCTAGATCCTTGAGCCATATTTCTCTCTTCGTGTCCGTAACCGTTACACGGGGTGGCGGCTTGAAAGTTGAGTTCGCCGTGATATTTCCATGAGCCCTCCGCTGAGCTAAAACGCTGGAAAACAATGATGACAGTGTTTGGAGCCCGCTTTTGTGTTTTAAAGATGGATATATAGAGGCTTTTGCCGAGCCAGTTTCGTTCTGTGACATTTGCGACTTGTCGAAGAAGCCTCCCCGGATGACAATTTCAGTGAATTGGTCTTCAGCATGGTTACCGTTCCATGGGAAGAAATCAGCATGACCTATTGAAAAGTTGTTAGAGATAGATCCGTTGCATGGAGAGATTGACCAATACGTGATTGGACATACCGTTTGGTGAATAAGACGGCGCAGCGGGCGGTATCTCTAAAACAAAAGGTTTGGGGCGAGCATCTTTCTTTCCAGATGTCCCAATTGATGAGCTCGGCTTTTCCACAAATGGGGGTGCATGTCTTCCGGGCCTAACAGGAAGAGGAAATGGTCTCGCAAACACTTGACTGTAGTTTTGGTCGGACGTCAAACTGGATCTGGTGGCTCTCGTATGAGGCACATCGAAATGAAGCTGCGGTCGACCGCGTGGAGGCAGAGTCTGCCTACTGGATATTATATTTGAAGGACCCGAGCTTGATGTCTCCGTCTGACTTGAACTTCTCGACTCATTGGAAATTTCTTGCTTCAAGCGCGACCCTCCTGTTCTCGAGGTTTGTCCATAACGCACAGATGTAGAATCCGGCACATCAAGCGTTAAGTCTATGAAGGCTTCGTTGTATCTTCGAGTCGGGGAGGTAGACGATAGGCTTCTTTGTGGGGAGGGTCTCGAGGTAACGTTTGGATTCAATGATCTTTGCGACTGTCGTTGGGCTTGTGACCCAACGAGGGGTTTTGTGGTCATGATTGCGCCATGCCGTGGTCGACTATTGCGACTCGTAACGTGATAAAGTTCCAGGAGGTATAAGACTGCGCAAGTGATATGTGAGATATGCGATATGTACGAAAATACTGTAGAGCTATGTTCAGGGAAACAGCATCAAAAAGTAAATGAAATAGTTTGATAATCGCCGCCGGGGTCTTGATTAGATGATAGAGTGAGTACCGGTAAATGGATGTCGCACAGGCGCAGGTCTTCACTTTGGTAGAAGCTAAGGCTCTTATCGTGTGTAAAAGTAAAGCGGAATCGGAATTTGTTCGTTGTATTATACCGTCTTGTGTGGTATTGCACGAGACAGCACTGGTAGGTAGGTGTATTGCACAAATGAAGATATAAAGTGAAGAAGAATGAATCGCCGGAGTGATTAATGTGTTAGCTGAGATGAGGGTGTGGGCGGAACAAGACTAAACATTGTGCGAACCGCTCCGCACCGCAAGCCAATCTTTTTAATCCATGTGCACCTACCTAGCTACCTAGTAGTAATTAAGTACCCAGTAGTAAACTTCCAGCTTTACATGAAATAAGAACTCGGAGCATAACCAATTTCACCAGCTCGAAGTCTACTTGAACTTTAATTGCATCGTGCGAACAAGGAGTGAATCAAGCAAGTTGTCCACATCATTCATTCAGTTTACATTACAATACATTTAGCAAACAACCATGGCGACAAGGAAAGATATGCGACGGGCTGATCTCAGTATGCCTTTCCCTTTCTTGTTACACGTGTTAACTTACTGACGCGCCTCTCACTTCAAGTCATCCCCTACCAAGTTCCAGCTGCGAAAGAATCTCCCAGCGATTTCGGTGGTACCTTAGGCAGCACTCTGCCAATGGCAGCAATGTTCACTCGTAACAAGCTCATCGGATGGTTCGTCAATTCCACGGATGTGATTTCTAAAGGACTATTTTGTCAAGAGACTATGTGAAAGCACGTCTGCTAACGAACGAAAGGGCTTCCGTTCTTTTTGCAGTTCAGAATTGGTTAGGTGAATCTTCAGAGACGAAGAAGGCTTCCTCCCAACCCGCATATTTATCGGTGGGAATGTCATGTAAGCAATATTCGTTCTCACGCTCGGATTGGCAACCCATGCTAATTTAACTGTACCCCAGTGATGGCTCTTGTTATTGTAAGTTGATCTGCATAACTCGTTACGCAGAGCGCAGTTCGCTCATCAATACTTCCCAGACTTATCTTCCAATGTTCCTTCCTCCTCCTCCCACCGCTCCAGTAGCTCAAGCCGCGTAGTGATGGCAGATTACGAATAAATTACAGGAGTCATGTATTATATGGGTGGTGACTATTAATATGGACAGAAGTGTCTGCTGGATTGTGTTTCTCTTGAAACTTATGGCAAACGATGCGCATTGAAGTATGAGACAATAGTAAGAAAGATATCTACATGGATGAGGATTGGATGAGGATAGGACAAGGATGGGCGCCGACGTGGATGAGCATCAAAAGAAGCCTGGGAATTGTAGTGGATGGTGCCCTCTTTAGGTATTAATTACACAAGAGGACAGAACAAAAGTTGGAGCAATGTCTACCTCAGTAGGTGTTAGATAAGCTAAAGCACAAAATGCTCTTGTACAAATATTGTCATCAACCAATTCACATTTTGCTCATTTATGAAGAGTGTAGGAATGCCTATATGTATTTATATAGGTTCAAAAGTGGTAGAGAAGTTTTGTGCATGTTCCACCCTATCTTGTGCAGAGCCGAGCAAAGTTTAATGGCATTGTACAGTTGTACAGCATCAATTTATTAGTAGTAACTACCTAGCTGATGTACGTAGGTAGATATCTGCTTAGTGTCTATTGTAATAAGTAATGTAAGTATTGTAAGTGTTATATTACTGTAACTAGGTACTGTGACTGGGTATTGTAACTATCTACTAGTAGGAGTAAAGGGAACAGTAATGATGTATAATAGGTAGTAAAGGAATATAATGATGGTATGGTAAGATTAACAACTATTAAGGTACTTTACCTAACAGGACCTACCACCTCGTAGCGTAGTAGTCCTAACTCTCTTTCCTAGCCGAGAAGATGATCACTGCTGACTAATTATAGGACCCTTGATAAGGCTACACGGAGATGGACCGCAAGGCACCAGTTGCTTATATAAACAACTCACTAAATAAATGACTCCCATTGGATAAGTCTCTTGTAGCCAGTCACACACCCGTATTCTATTTACGCTTACCCAAATCAATCAATCATATCATTCATTGAGCTTCGCTCCTGCGCCCCCGCCTCTCTTGCCACAAAACACACGACCCCCGTCTAATTTAAACAACAAAACCAAACTGCTTTCTGACACTACAACACTACATAACCCTTCCAAAACTAACAACTTCTAAATAACCCCACCTCGAAAGTCGAACTCGAATTCCAAATCCAAACCCAAATCAATCTATTAATTCCTTTAATAAGTTTTACACCTTTTCCATCACTTTAAACAGAATTCCAGTCCCAAAGACACCAGACACACTCGAGTTTATGTCCATCGAAAACCTCAAGACGATCGGTATGCGCCCTTTCTCCCCCTTTTCACCTCTTCACGCCGTGGAGCAGCCACATCAGAATAGTACCTCCTGGTATTACCTTTATCGACATACCTGCTACCGACTTGCCTCCATGCTCATCTTTGACCGCTCGTGGCACCTTCACTAATATTTCTCTGCAGACTCCTTCGCTGAAGCCGATGCCGCCGGAGATCCAGGACCAAACCAAGGCTCAGGGGAGACAAAGTCGGCGTTGAAAGCGAACGATTCCTCCCCTACTGCAAACTCCAAGCCAGCAAAGTCCGCAAAGGCTACTCCTGGTGGAACTCAAATTGAGAACTTGAAAGTCTTCGGTGAGATAACCATTCCCGTCCTCGTGGCACATTCTTATTATTGAATATCGATGAAATCAATCACATTTCGACTTGGACTGTTTGATGTTATGTGAATTTTATTGGGCATAAATTCTAATCTTATTGCATATTTAGATCCCTTCGCTGAAGCCGACGAAGAACCTGGAGACCAAAAGGCCGCAGAATATATTCATATTCGTATTCAACGTATGTCGACTTTGTTCAGCTCTCCATATCCCTTGCAATTACCTGGATATAAAAGGAAAGGCTTGTACATCAGCCACTAACTCTTTATGATTATAGAGCGTAATGGTCGGAAGACTTTAACCACTGTTCAAGGACTTCCAAAGAAATTTGACCAGAAGAAGATACTTAAGGTTATTAAGAAGAAGTTCGGTAAGTTCATGATGCAACCTCACACTCGAGATGTTGGTTGCTAATTTTACAATGTAACAGCTTGCAATGGCACCATTGTCAACGATGTCATCATGGGTGACGTGATCCAGCTTCAAGGAGACCAGCGCAAAGATGTGCAAGAATTCCTCACTGGCAAAGAAGGCCTAGAGCTTGAGGCCAAGACCATCAAGGTAACATTACACTATCATCAGTCACTTATCGAGATCCATCTAACTAAGTTTCACATAAGGTCCACGGTTTCTAAAATCGGCAACCACAGGTCCCGAGTCATCGCAGGGCCGTAAGCTCTCATCATCATATGTGGTTGCTTGCATGCTCAATCCAAACGTTACTGCGAATGACTTCATAAACATGTGGGCGAGACAGTCCCCATCATTCCCCGCATCTACGCAGAAAGCGCTAGGTGATAACAAGGGAGGGCTTTGCAGATGGATGCTCCAACTTTGCTAGTTTAGCAGGGTCTTCATTCTCTTTATTTCACTAGTCAGATCAGGTTACTTAGTGCACCTGGCTGTAAATTTCTATTCGGTACGCCTCATGGCATAGTAAAATGTCAATTCATACACGGCCTATCCATCCCATCGTGTTTCAAAGTTCTCCTTTTGAGCCGCGTGCCAGTGATTTGTGACTCTTGTATCTGTTAAACTGTCTCGTACTATGCCACCAAGTTCAACCCCATCTTGACGTACCCCCAGATCTCCTCTAGATGCAGAATCAAGGGTAGAGATGGAAGATCTGTTCTTGAGATGTGTAACTGAGTCAAGAGACTGACCATGCTAATGAAACTTGCTATTGAGAAGACGGAAATCGATAAGGAAGTCTCCTTCCGGATAGCGAGTCGTGGATGAGTCAAGTGGTAAAGAAAGGTCAATGTCTGTATCATGATTAGAAAAAGTACCAAAAAAACGGCCAGCATCAAATGACGGCACGTACACTAGCTATGCAAACCCAGGCCGGCAGAAGCAAACGTGGATCTTCTGAGCCGCCTGATAGGTACAGGATCCACGATGTGGTATATGCATTTATCAAGTTGATGGTAAGGAGGCGGACGATTGTTGCTGGGTGGTAGGGTTATTCAAAAGTTTTCCTTCGTCATATATAGACATAACCGCATACCTTGGGGAGTGTAGTTAAGCAACCTGATATGTTAAGTGCTTAGTGACATGTTCTAGCTTTGGGCCAAGACTTTGGAGAAAGTGGGGAGTATCGTAGGACTTCACATACCATCTAGACATTAAGCAGTCTGTAAAGAAGAAGGCAAGATAGGCGGAGGAGAAACACTTTCCGTGCAAATTAGCATGATTCTTCCCTTCTCGTATAAACCTGTTTTATCACACAAGAGGAGGTTTTCAAGTCATATTGAGGAATTTGGCCATACCCACTAATACCAAGAATTTATGTTAGCATTGAGATAAAATCGACACAAGTTTCATATGGCATAGGTTCTAAAGATGTGCTCACAAGAACAGCCAAAAAGACTTCAGTAACCCTGAATCTTTTCTCAATAGTCCACTTTGCTTCTACAGCACTCATCTCATCCCACAACAACTCCCTCATAAAAGTCAACGCACATCGTAATCCCCACCAAATCGCGGGAGCGATACTAAGCAATCGACAAAATAGGAGCGGAAAATGCCAAACTCTGGCTACGCCAAGAAGTACGGCGACACGAGGATGCAGAACGGAAGTCTTGTTATCTGGATCTGCGGGGTGCAGGTTTGGTTGGTAAGGTGAGGGAGATATGGCGGTATGCGAAATTTCTGAGCGGGAAGTAGAGAAGGGTGCTTGGTACGAACGACGCCGGGTGGAAGCCAGAAGGAGAGGTGTTTACGGCATATGCTGCCGTTTTGCAATACTGGGAATGGATGTGTGGGTGGGTGTTTTCCTACCTTGAATCCTGTGTCAGAAAGTGGGACGAGACACGGGCGGCTGGGATGCAAAAGACAGGTCAAAATCCCGTACCTTAAGGACAATTGGGAGCAACAGCAAGATATCTCATTTATCAATGTAGTGTAGTATGGAGTATAGATTCCAGAAACGGTTTTATTGTGCCAGCAAGCAAGCCCACCTCCCTTCATTTCTCGTTCAGCCTCGCCAAACCTGTCTAGCTCCGTTTACAAACCACACAGCCACATCCAGCCACCAAGGCTGACGGAATATTCTGTGGTTGTCAAAAAAGTTCCAGTATTTGATTGTGTGAGGTGAGGGATGCAATCTCATGACAAACCTCCCACATACTGTTTGTCTTTCTGTCTCTCATCCTTCGTATCGACACTACTTCCATGGCTCAAGTTTTCCGCAGACATGTCTTCCCTACCGTTCGTAGGCCTTTCTCCTCCAACCCTCGATTCTTCTCTGCCGTAACCCCCCGACAAGCTGCTCCCGCCAATCCTGCACAACACCCGGATCGTAGAATGCGCATGCAAGCTGTGTCAGGTACACGAATGGCAAATGATGTCGGCCTTCTACCTAGTACGTCTGTAGCAATTGCTCTTTTCCACGTCCCAGTGCCCCGCGCTAATCAAGTTTAAGACACATTCATAGCAGCCAGAGGTCCCCCTCTCTTCAAAAGCCCCAAAAACCTATTGAAATACCAATGGATGAGGTTGAGGACCAGAGTACGGGATATTCTCGCCACCGTCACATTTAAATGGATGTCTCCCAAAACCGGCCGCATACGAAGAAAAGTGCAACTGAAGCGTGGTTCGATAGCATCTGCAGCCGAAGCTCTGTACAGAGAAATGTACCAAAATTTTGCTGCTGGTAACACTGGACGCTTGCGTAGAATGTGCACCGATGGACTTTATGAAAGTTTCGCACAACGCATAGCTTCAAGGCCCCGGGGGCAAAAGGTTACATGGAACCTTGAGAAAATGAACCGCAGACCTAAGATAATGTCGAACAAAGCCGTTATGATACCCGGAGGATCGGGAAATGTGATACGACAAGCGGTGGTCAGGATCTCGAGCCGACAATTGATAACTTTGAAGGATAGTAAAGGGAAAGAATTACCTGGAAGTAGCGAGAAAGACATTGTGGAGTATGTGGTTGTGCAGAAGATTTATCGAAACTGGCAGGATACAGAATGGCAGGTGTGGGGTACGACAAGGGCTACCACGTTGAAGAATGTAGAGGATTGGGAGAAGATGGTTTAGAGGTGAGGGGTGGTGATTCAGGGGCTGTACATTGTGTATTTGTCTTAGTGTAAGATATCGGTGGGCTAGGTATTTGTATTGTACATGAACCCCCAGTTCAGAGTTCTGATCAGAAACTCTAAATATCCAAACACCGCTCGAGATGAGTCAGTCTACCATTCCATGAGCAGATTTTGAGTTTCCGGAGAACGTGAAAGTCGCACATAGCGAAGTATATTGCTTTCGTCGAAGAAGTCATCACAAAAGAATCCAGATAATACCAAGGCAGTATATTTCTCTAGCAAAGCGGCGCCAACACCAGTGAGTCCAGAAAGGCCAAGCTCTGCTTTTAGGTAACAGGCGGGAGTGCTCTGATGCATTGTGTTATCAAAATATATAAGCTCCGGGTCTACATTCCTTTCTTCCTCCCCTTGACGGTTAAACCTTCATTCATCCTCTAATAACATATATCGCCCTTGTTCTTCAGAATCAACTCCTAGCCACCATCCATCCGTCCTAGTTCTTCGGAATTATCCTTTAGCCACTCTTAAGCTCTGCTACAGCCTTTCATTCACCAAATAATCATCGGTCTCCTGTTTGAACATGATTTCTCCTATTTCTGCACTCAGTCGGCACATGGTGTTCTATCTCATGCTGTTTAATGAACTTGTCATATGCTATGATTCTATGTATCTTTTTAGCTTTGCTGAGCTATGTCTTGCTAAATCTTCATGACCTCATGAATAGAACATCTTGTACCTAACCTCAACCATCACAGAGAAGTGATCAAAATACACCACTGACGGGCGCAGCTGTATTAATTTTATAAAGGAAAGTTTGAGATGTTGTACTCAACCTGCATCTAAGCATGCTTCAGCGTCATGCTCAAAGCACTTGCCAAATCTGCTTTCTCGTGTTGCATCATCATACACTTCCATCACAAACATCAAAATATTTGGTAACTATATTCACGATGGTAATACTTTTGGTCCCGTCTATCTAAGCTAAGATGCAACTGATTAATAGTACATGGTTTGTTCAAATCGAAGAGACTCTATCCTATGTCTGTCTTGTCCAAAGGAGCAAGAGAATCAATAGGGAGCTGGCCACCATATAAATGGCGAACCAGGAGCCACAATGCCCTGTCATATTTGATTGATAGACAAGAATCCTGTACAACAGTAGATGAAGCCAAATTCCTGCAAGGATGAAGAAAGAAATACCGTAAACTCCGTGAAATTATTAGTCGTAAACACGAAGACACAACCTGGACGACACTAGTATTAATTGCGTACCGAGAACGTAAGAAAAACATGCCGCCCAAATGTCAAGAAGAATAACAAGTACAACCGTAGATAGTGAAAACTGCGATTGATGGTCCTGACAGGAAGGTCTGGCTGAGTGAAATATTACTCAACAACGGAAGCATGCCCACTTGGCGTAGGAGTTGCCGAACGATCATCGCGAGCCTTGTTACTAATGCCAACAGGTGAATAAGGGTAACATGCTTGCTGAGACGAAGACGACTGATCAGCTGGTGGGCTCTGCATACCCCAGTATGGAGCCGGTGCATATTGTTGGTATGGTGCGTAACTGCAGTATGGTGACGGTGCAGGAGGACTGGCCGTTAAATCAGTTACCACTGCTGGGTTACGCATTCCGTAGCCAGGACTACCGGGGTAGCCTGGGTAGTATGCTGGTGCTGGCGAGTACGAGGTAGCACTGCTGTAGTAATGGCCTTGACCATCAGTGAAGACGGTTGAAGGGGCTGCATAACCATAGTATGGGCTATACGCAGCGTAACCATAAGGTGATGCATAAGGCATAGGGGACATTTGAGCAGACGGAGAAGTTTGTTGGTCCACATGTTGATCGACACGAGGGGACTGGAACGACCGAGCGGAGGTCGATGGCTGTGGTCTGGAGGGTCTGCCTCTGCTACCACCATTTTCAGAATCCTTTTGAGCGACTCGTAGAGATTTTCCACCGAAAGTGAAACCATTCTATGGCGGAGTTAGGAGACCACAAGTCAGAGGACTTAATGGAAAAATTGTTTGACTTACCTTTGCGTTTACTGCATTAACAACTGCCATGGGAGACTTGAATTCGACAAAAGCGAAAGCAAACTTCTCTTCTGCTATAGAGTGCCGGGTCAGCTTGGGAACATTCATTCAGAGGATGGCAACTTACGCTCAAACTTAGACGCGTTCTCTCGCAGACTGATATCTTGGATTTCGCCATAGTGCTCGAAAAGACCCCGAATTTGTTGTTCTGAAGTACTCAATGGAAGGTTGCCAACGAAAATTGACCGACGGTCGACATCGTATCTTGCCAAATATGCCTTGGTAGCATCAATTTCTGCTGCGGGTGGTGACTGCTGAGCAGGTGTTGCAAGGCCTGCAATGGGCTGCAGCTTGTAAAGATCATGGTTGCGGAAAGCCTGTGAACAAGTCAGCATGAAGACCAAGAGCAAAAAGTTTAAAACCTTTACTGACAGATTGAGCATCTTGACCTTCATCGTACATTTCAAATTGAACAATGACTCCTTCATTGAGGTTGAGTGCAGTACGCTCTACGTGAGAAGCAGTGTAACAAAGTTCGATCTTGCCAAAGCGCTGAAGAAGGTCTCTCACTTCGCCAGGAGTGACGACTGGACCATACTTGCGCTCAATGAAAAATAGACCTGAGAAGTGTCAGTAAAAACCGCATCTCGAGGGACAATTTCTTACGATGAGCCTTGGCCTTTTCGCAGCGACATGGGCGGCCTTTGATTAGACGACCTCTGCCTTCCTTGATAGCTCTCTCGGCATGTTCTTGCTTCTATTTTAAGTTAGATATAACCAGGAAGATGATTTCATGTGACAACTCACAGTGTATTGACAGAATGCGAAAGGCATATGCTTGCCGTCACGACGGATCTTGACGTAGACAGGACCATATTCTCGGAAGATTTGAGTCACGGCCATTTGAAGGGAGTCTTCACTCTCGGATTGAAGCAGGCTTTCAAAGTTTAGTATGAATCACGATGAAAGGAGAGGACGGGGCAAGGAAAAGCCGAGGAAGAGAAGATAAGAGACTTACTTCGCAACGAAAACACAGCAAGAAGGAGGATACACAGCTTGCGCATCCTCGGCCTTGACAACAGTGTAACCACTTAGTCTATTGCCTGCGTTGTCGGTGTTCTCAGAAACATGCTCTTGGACGTGGAAAGAAAGCTTGCGCTGAGTGTCACCGTAGTGGGCATCAACAGTGCCGGTGGAGTTTGACTTCGACTTTGATGGTGATAACTCAGAACTGTTGCTCGAGCTTCTTGAGCGCCAAGGGCCATGAATATCTCGGTGAGAATGTCTTGGAGCCTTGGGAGTATGCTGGTCTTGGTTGCGACACTTTGAAGCATTCTTGCTTGGCGATTGGAATGGATCATCAACATTGCTCTGAGAACCATTGCGAACAAATGGCGGGGAGTAGCTGGAAAAGTCAGAAGCTAGAAAGTGATTGCAAAGATTCGTAAGCTTGTGACTTACAGGTTTGAATTTCTAGAACCACTAGTGGAATGGTGACCAGAAGATGTCACATTGTCTTCGACGGTACCCTCATCACTGATTGCAAGACGGGCAATGTTGGTAAGAGCTGCCCCTTTTAGGAATAGTCAGCTAGGGTTTGTGAATGATTGAGCGAACACGGAACGGGATTTAAGGGGGATGAAACGCGTCTTCAGGGTGGTAGATGTAAGAGAACGCAAAATTTGATAGGGCAGCGTAATAAAAGTGATGAATACAATTCTGCGAGCCTCTTCAGCAGACACATATTGAATGCTCCCATGATGGTGCGGTTTGTGGTATGAAAACATGAAGGGGTAGAAGGATTGCGCAAAAAGTGAAAACAACATGATGCGACATTGTAGAAGATGCTCTATGATGAGGGCACAATCTAGCAAAGAATAAGGAAAAAATATTTACACTCACCATCATTGTCAGGAGTTAAAGGAATATCAGCATCGCTGGCAGCGGAGCTACCATATGTACTGGCAGGCGATGGCTCAATCTGGGAAGAAATTGCAGAATGCGAACCTGAATTGGTGTAAGCTGAACTGGAGGTGGACGAAATTGAGTGCATACCAAGGGCATGACCACCACCAGTTGAGGAGGGAGTCGCAGGCGACATGATGAAATAGAGCTTGAACACGGAGCAAAGAGAGTGTAGAAATTGTGAATTGAAAAGTCACTAACAAGTGTTATGCAGCTTTAGCTCAACAATTGTACTCCTCAGGTGGTGACTAACAGTGTGGGGGAGAGTGAAAAGAAGAGGCGCCGCTCGTTCCAAGTAGAGGAGAGAGTAA